CGTTGCAAACGGCCATAATCAACTTTATAACCATGAGCAACTGACTTTATTGTCACTGCAAAGTAATTTTATGGTCACACAAAAATACTTTATAGTAGCACCAAATTTACTTTGCAGCCACAATAAAGTTACTTTATTGTCATAAAAAAAACTGTATAGTCGTAGCAAAGTCACTTTATTGTCACAATAAAGTTACTTTATTGTAACAACAAAGATATCCTTTATATTCACAACAAAGTTACTTTGCTGCCACGGGTAAGACAGTTCAATAAAGTTAACTCCATTACCACAGTTAAGAACTTGGCTGGAGCCTATTCTAAAAAAAAAATTAGCTGTGGTCGCTAAAAAATTGGCAATGGCCAGAAGGAAGATTTCTCAGTGCAGAAAATAATTTCTAATTTGTCCTTTTCACAACAAAATTTACAGGTAGGTGAGATATAACGTTAACAAATATAAAAAACACAATGAAAAAAATTAAATTTGGGACTTTTTTTATGAAAAACCATTAAAAAGAGTGTGACCCTAAAAGACGACTTAAAGCTACTTAAATCAAGAAAAAAATTCTAAGATCTCTCGTGAAAACCGCAGTCCTATATATATTCAAAATAGCCCTCGAGAAAATTCCTTGTGAAGACAAATTATGCAGGAGCTTGTGATGTCACAACCGCCGAAATCGTAGTCGTCATAGCAGTAAACCGTACCCTATACTTTGAGTGGTTGCAATTCGCTCTAGGAGATAATTGTCTTCTGTTTTGAAATATTCTTACACGTGATAATACTGTCCCTGATAGTCCAGTGTGACGTCACAAACACCTAGTTTTAACTTCAAACCGCCCTAACTCGAAAACGGACCATCGTAGCAAGATGCGGTTTAAATATTTATTCTTAGAGCCGTTTTACACGGCAAAGTTTCTTTACGAAATTATTCACGAAATTATTGCCGAAATATTTCGTAAGTTTACTTTTCTTGGTTTCGCCTTTTCCTGTTTGACACGGCAAATAAAATTTAGCAGAAGTTTCGTGAAAATATTAGTCATACGCAGGCGCAGTTACGTTTTGCCATCAATAATATTAAATCATAACCTCATATCATATCTTGGTAAACCAAAACAAAACAAATAAAACTTTCGTTTTCTGATTGTTGTTGAATCTCTGTACCTACTCTTCTGTAGTTTTATTAAGTTGAATTTCTGTGTTCCTTCCATAATTAAAGTTTTGTTTACCTGGCTTTGACCAGCTGGTACTCTCTCTCCCACCCTATGTTTTTAGGCGGAACAAATTTTTTCCACGGATAAGCACTCTATCTTTATCTTTTACATAGGAAATTCATTGACGGATTCATAAAGTTCGATGGAAAAGAAAGCCCCGTTTATTTTGTAATTGTGTGCGCCGAAACTCACGCAAAACTCAAGTTTTTCTTGTCGTGTAAAACAGGAGAAGTTGACTTACGAAATATTTCGGCAACAATTTCGTAAGTAATTTCGTGAAGAAACTTTGCCGTGTAAAAAGGCTCTTAGTTGAGAAAATAAAAAAAAATATGCGAAATAGTTAATTCCGTGTTACGTAACTCGGAAATAGTTAGTTCCGTGTTTCGTAACGCAGAAATAACTATTTCCGAGTTACGTAACGCGGAAATAACTTTGAAAATAAAAAAAATAGATACGTATCCCTTCTACGCCGTGAGTTGCTGACTCCGGAATTTTGTTTTTGAGCTGTAACTTTTTTATTTGTTGACCAATTTTCTTTTGTTTTGGCTTGTTTGAAATAGAAATGAACAGACTAACGAATCAGGGTAAAACTTTTGACATTTGAAAAAAATCCAAAATGGCGGACTTTTTCAAAAATTGCCTAGTTTTGGATAGCGCTGGAACTTTTTTGGGACACCCTGTATAAGTTTTTTTAATAAATTCCTAAAGTTCATAATTTTGCGAACATTTTAAGACCTCGACAGAAAAAATCGGTTGAAAACTAAGTGAAATATTGGCTTTTTTGTAATATCGAATTTCAATTTTTTATATTGACAGGAAAATCTGAATATGCTATTTCAGCTAGAATTTTTTTTTCTACTCGACATATTTCTTCTATTTCGGGCTTGTTCGAAAGATAAATGGATAGGATAAGGACTCGAAGTGAAGATTTTGACTGTTGAGAAAAAATTAAAGATTTCCCAGTTCCTTTAACATAGCCAAAAATTTCCACCTTATCCGGAGTAGAAAATTCGCTAAAAAATCAACTACGAATTTTTCTCCAAGCTCGAAAAGCAGATAAAGGAAGAGAAAAATTCAGCAGTTATTTAATGGTACCTATCTGCAGCAATTTCTCGAAGCCACAAAGCACAACTAATTGTTATCGACCAAGGAGTTCGCTTGGATTCACGCAAGTATTGTCAGCTTGTGTTCGTCATATGCTATCCGAAATCAAGGTTGTTTGAGAGAGGTAGGTTGCCTGATAACTTTTATGACGTCATCTGTATGCTTGAACATAATGCAAATCTCCATAAGGCAAAGGCACTCTAGATGCGTCATCAAGTTACCCATTACCAGACAACCTGGGCTGCGTTCAAAAACGGCTAAAGCCGAGCCAAAATTGGAATATTGCGTTCAAGTTCGGCTCCAGCGTGCCAAAAACGGTTGGCTTTACACGTTCCAAATCGGCCGCGGTAAAGTAACTTTTGGAGGCTCTTTCAACTGAGTCTAGAAATGGTTATACGAATTTTGATTGGATGAGACCAAATTCAATATGGCGTGGCGGCCAGGCAAGTTAGTTTTGAATATGGGTTTTCATGCATATTTCAATTATTTTGTTTGTTTGCAGCTTCGATTTTAATTATTCAATAAAATATTTGTTAACTAAGTACGTTAACTATTAAGTCGGACAGAAACTAGATATTTTTTGTGTTTTTTTGGTCCATGAATGGTCGCCACGCCATATTGAATGTCACGTGGTTTGGATTGCATATTGAGAAACGGTATTTGGCGTTCCAGCAAATTCACACCAGATTTGGCATTGCCGGTAGAAGGGGTATTAATAGTAGGTTTTGGCATTAGCATTGCCGTCTTTGAACGCACTCCAGTTAACTTTAGGAATCTTGATCCGAAATTGAACAGCTCACACCTCAAGACTACACTTTTATGCAGGTAATTTTATAACTTACCTAGTTAACATTTATTGTTCCGATTTTGGTTCTCACAAAAACTTTGATAAAATTGTACGATTTTGTATTTCTCATCCTATGAGGTAAAGATGATAAATACTGTTTGTTTATAAGATGGAGCCAGGTGACATAATAGCCGCTTTACTATCAACTATCTAAGAGAGCAAGTTGCGGATTTTATACAGCCCGTTGACTGGCCGCCTAATAGCCCAGATTTGAATTCCTGCGATTACTTTGCATGAGGGGATTTGGAAGAAAAAGTCCACGGAAATAGGGCTACGTTCAATAATTTAGGAGACCTGCACAACCGAATCATTGAGTTTTGGGGAGAACTGCTGGAACAACGTAACATTGCCAATTCTATCGATTCTTGGCGTAGACGTTTAGCATGGGTTGTTGAGGCCCACGGAAAGCATATCGCCTCTTGCCCCTTAAATGTGTTTACTTTATTTTTTAAAATTTTTAAATAAAAATATTAGTCGTATTGTATTGTTGGAAAACTTATCGTTAACTTTTTCAAAATTGGCTATGTTGAAGGAACTGGGAAATCTTTTTTTTTCAACAGTCAAAATCTTCATTTCGGATCCTTATCCTATCTATTTATCTTTCGAACAAGCCCGAAATAGGAGAAATATGTCGAGTAGAAAGAAAATTCTAGCTGAAATAGCATATTCAGATTTTGCTGTCAATATAAAAAATTGAAATTCGATATTACAAAAAAATCAATATTTCACTTAGTTTTCAACCGATTTTTTCTGTCGAAGTCTTAAAAAGTTCGCAAAATGATGAACTTTAAGAATTTATTAAAAAAACTTATACCCTAATAACACAGGATCTTGCTGGTATATCCCACTAAGGTACCACTAATGTCCCGATGTTTCAGACATAGGTAAGACATGCCAAAATTGTTTCCTTTGGAACATTCTTGGAACGTTTTGATTGGGACGTTCTAGAAACATCTTTAGAGGCTTTCAACATTCAATTTTTATTTTTTGTATTAGCAAATTTAAAATTTGATTTATCAATCCATTAACAGTTGAATAATCTACTATACCTAATACAGGATATTTTGAATTTTTTAATAATAATTAAAAAAGTAAAACGAAAGACCCGTCTCAAAATTACTTTTACAAAATAATTTAAGGCATTTTTTAATTTTCGAAGAACTTTGAGACCTTGGGTCCTATTAAAAAATGTATTATTTAAACAAACATCCATCCGCCCATGCCCACCCGCTATAGTTGGAGCTTATTGCTTATTTTGTAATTTGTAACAACTCTACTCTGGTAGTACCTGCTCTGCTTGCCACGCTTGCCATTAGCCAATGGGCTCGACTTTTGACTGTAACGTTGTCAGATTTTTGTCCGAAATTATTTCTGAGTGTCCGGAAAAAATGAATATTAATAAAATAACTGACCTAATAAGACAATTAATTTGAGCACACATCAGAATTCTACAAAACGTATTTAAAATGAATAATCTCTAGTGATATTTGAAATGTTTTCAAGTTTCGAGTCTGGCTGTTTTAGTATGTGAGTGCGCTAGAAAAAGAAATCTGGCAACGTTGGAAGTGATTTCGGCCCTGCCGCCGGCCGTTCGATTCGGCGGGAAGCGCTGGTGTAGTTTGTCACACTTGGCTTCCATTTTGTTTTTGTTCTCTCTGTACTCTGTATTCGTTTTCAAACGTTTGATGCAGGTAGAAGTTTTATTTTTTAATTTAATATTTACTATAGTCGGTACCATTGACTATAGTTTTTTTTTCGAGTATAAACCTAGATATTTTCTTCTTTGTGGAATTCAGTGCGATTGTGTCGTGAGTTTGTGCCTTTTTCAAGGTAAGTAAAGTGGAAAATGGAGTCCAGACTCAGAGAAAAAAGAAAACTTTTAAATAAGCTTAATCAACGGTTCAAACGCCTCAATAAAGGTGAAAATATTCAAATAAGTGAGGATACTGTTGCCTCAACTACCTCACAGGCTTCAGGCTCTGGGGGCCAAGCTGAAGCTTACAGTCCTGAGCATATGCCCGTTTCTTACCATTGTTCAGACACTGACTCTACCACATCTGAAAGCTCTTATGAAGACGAGCCCAGTTACCTTGAAAATCCCCATGAAAATAATCCTTACCTTGAAAATCTTGACCAAAATAACCAACCCGAGAACCAACCTATCTTATCAAACCAAACAGAGCAAAATAATGAATCTTTGTCATCTTTTTTAGGAAACTGGGCTTTGAAGCATAACATAAACCATTCTGCTCTATCTGATCTTTTAACTAATTTAAGAAAATTCCATCCAGATTTACCTAAAGACTCGAGAACTCTTCTTAAAACACCCCGACAAACTGGTTCCCAAATTAAAATAGTACAGCCAGGATTTTATTATCATTTTGGGTTAGAGCAGTGTCTGAAAAATTTGTTGGTTGAATTTTCAAAAGAAAATATCCTCGAAACAAATGTTCTAGAAATTTGTGTTAATGTTGATGGCTTGCCTCTTTCCAAAAGTTCTGGAAACCAAGTCTGGCCAATAATGGTTAATTTTGTTAGAAATAAAGATTTTATTCAGATTTGTGGGGTATATCAAGGCAATGAAAAGCCAAAAAGTAGCAATGAGTTCATGTCCGATTTTGTAAGGGAAGCTATAGAACTAATAAATAATGGTTTTTTGTTCAATAATACAACATACAGTGTTAAAATACATGCTTTTATATGTGATGTTCCCGCCAAGTCATTTTTAAAATGTGTAAAGGGCCACAGTGGCTATATGTCATGCACAAAATGTGATATAGAAGGCAATTATATTGGAAATCGAACCTGTTTTCCAAAAACAGAAGGGTTTAATTTAAGAAGCGATTTGAGTTTCCGAACAAAGGAACAGGAAAGCCATCATATTGACACCACAATTTTAGAAAATATTCCAGGGTTAAATATGGTAAAATCATTTCCTCTAGATTATATGCACTTGGTGTGTCTAGGGGTAATGAAAAAGCTACTTAATAACCTGTGGCTCTCTGGGAAACCACCATATCGTTTGTCTTCCCAACAAATCAAAAGTATTTCAGATCAATACCTAGCATTTAAAAAGCAAATTCCACAAGAAATTCTAAGAAAACCGAGATCTTTGTTGGAAGTGAAACGGTGGAAAGCTACTGAGTTCCGCTCTTTTCTATTTTATTTAGGTCCTGTTGTTTTGAAAGAAAACATACCTGAAAAAGTATATGAAAACTTTTGTTGTCTCCATGTCACAATAACATTATTGTCAAAATGTTGCAATTTGGGATATGCTCAGCAATTATTGAAACATTTTGTAGAAACATTTTCTTTACTTTATGGGAAAGAAAATATTTCCCATAATGTTCACAACTTGCTTCACCTTGTCGACGATGTTCAAACATTTGGTAGCATAGAAAATTTTAGTGCTTTTCCTTTCGAAAACCACATGATGTATATAAAAAAACTAGTTCGTAAAGGTGACAAACCCCTTCAGCAAATTATCAACAGAATCTCTGAACGGGCAAACATCAGAGATTCAGGTGCAAATTCTACCAAATCCTATCCCATATTAAGAAAAGAGCACTCTAGAGGACCACTTATGGACAATAATTCCTTATGTGTGAAACAATTTGAAATAATTTTTTTTAACAATTTTTTCTTATCCTTGAATGAAGGGGATAATTGTTGTGTACTTAAGGATAAAAGTTTAGTCCTGATAAAAAATATTATAGTTTCTGATAAATACACTAAAATAATTGGTCACACATTTTCAAACTTGGAAAGCTTTTATAGGTCATATTGTGAATCCTCAAAATTGGATATATTTTTAGTAAATGCTGTAAATACTAGGCTCCACTGCTGGGATGTAAATCAAATAGCCTACAAATGTGTTAAATTAAGTTTTAGAAACAAATTTGTGGTTTTTCCTCTAATTCATACCCTTAAATCAGCTTAATGATTTCATTACATAGTCATAACTAGAGATGTAAAAAAACGTTTTTTCTTTTTTTCAAAATAATTTCAAATGTAAAATAGTATGTGTGCTACTTTTTTTAAATTTAAAATAGTATGTGTGCTACTTTTCCGCACGAGTTAGGAACACAATTTTTTCTACGAGATAGAAGGAACATCCCTACGTAATGTAAATTTTAACACTAATATTTGACAACATTTATTTTGCAACACCTGTTAATAAAAACAAATAGAGTATTTTTTCTTAATATAGGTTAGGTATTTTTAAGTACAAATAAAACCTAATTTTTTAATAATAAAAAAAAAAAATCTGAAATAATGTGCCTTATTCTGAAGACAATAAAATCGAGAACTTTTAACAATAATTTGTACATTTGATGTATCTACTATCTATGAAATTTTCGAAATTTTTGAGCATAAAGTAACCATTCTATAGTAACTTGACAAGAAAAGTTAAGTTTAAAGCGAAATAATTTAATGAATGACATTATTGTTTCGATAATTCTCAATGCTGAAATTTGTGTGTGTCAGCTTATAATTTGAAAAATGACAACCGTCACTTTTCCGCACTAGTGAAACTTTCTAAACTAAAACGCGGAAAAGTCCGCACACTTGTAGAAAAAATAGTTATTTTTCTCTGAATGACATTAAAAGTGGCAAAAACGGACACAGCTTTTTACACCTTCTGAGCCTATCAAGTGTCATTAGAAACACTTGACAGGCTCAGAAGGTGTAAAAAGCCATGTCAGTTTTTGTCATCTTTTTTGTTGATTTGCTCCGAAATTTTGACAGGCACATGACTGGATCAGAGAGTTTCAATTTACAAACCACGTGCCTGTCAAATTATCAGAACAAATCGACGAAAAAGATGACAAAAACGAACACGGCTACTATACAACATTCCAGGTAATAATTTGTATTGAACTGGTTATTGAATTTGACAATGACATTAAAGTAAACAAAAAATTTTTAACAAATGTGATCAGTGCAATTAATAAATGCTTATAAAAAAGTGGATTATGAGTGAAATTGGAACAGATTCAGAGAAAAAATTTATTGTTCCACACATTAGAAACTCAGATTTAATGCTGATTTTCTGCTGTGTGAAACATAAAAAAACGCTTTTAATGTCATTCGGAGATTAGAATAGCTATTAAATTAAATATTTAAGTAGGCACATCCATATTCCATCCGAACTATAATGGCATCACCCAATAAGACTTGGACAGTTGTTTGTTTTTATTATGTTAGTTTTATTTCCCAAATACAATATAATTGAATTTTTTTTATTATTGTTACATGTGACGCTTTTATATTGATCTTGACAAAAATATGTCTTCGCCCAATAAAACCTGGACGGTTGTTTTTATTTTACGGCCGACGAGACTGTGGAAGCAGTCCCAACCAGATGGATCAATGGGGATGATTGTCTGTGGCCTGCTGTCCCAGCTGAAAAACTTAACATGTTTATCAAAAACTGTGAATTCAATTCTTGCTGGCCATCGCACAAAGTGCGAACATTCAGAAACGCAACCTATGGTGAGTAAACTTTTTGGGACCCTTTATTTTTATAATACCGGGTGTTACGAGATTAGTTTCGCGCTGGGATTTGCTGGATTTTTTTCCAATGGCAAAGATTTTTGGTATAGAGTATAGGTTTGAGAAATGTCATGTTTTGACATATGTGTCAATGTTTGGTAACTTCCGGTTTGACTGGAAATGGCCCTAACTTCGTAATTTCGAATGGCATCCCAAGAATTTTTTCGCATTTTTGGGATCTGCGGATCATGATGTGTAAAAATAAATTTTGATCCAGAATTCTAAAGTTTCTTCAAAAATGTCCAAATTTGACGTTTCCATACACATCATGATCCGCAGAACCTAAAAATGCGAAAAAATTCTTGGGATGCCATTCAAAATTACAAAGTTAGGGCCATTTCCAGTCAAACCAGAAGTTACCAAACATTGACACATATGTCAAAAGATGACATCAAACCTGTACTCTATACCATCTCTATACCAAAAATCTTTGCCATTGGAAAAAAAAAACAGCAAATGCCAGCACGAAACTTATCTCGTAGACACCCGGTATATTATGCATTTCTCAGATAACTATAAAATCGCAAGAGCCAAAGCGAATAAAGCTGAAACTACTAGCGATCTAAATACAGATATAGGAGAAGATACGGAAAATGTACCAATCAAAAGATTCAGGAGGAAAAAATATTTATCTTCGTCTGACTCTAGTGAGGATGAGCCACTAATATTAAAAAAAAAAACAAAAAATAGTCAAAAATCTGCCTCCTCCACCATCTTGGACAGATGTGATCATGGATGAAGACCCAATTAGTGAAATAAATAATAATTTTAATAATTCACAGCCCAATTATTTAGAAGGTAATTCACAAATTTATTTAGTTTTTAAAAATATTTAGAAACCAAATTTTGTAGATTTTAAGTTTAATTTTTAAGTTTCACCAGTCCTATGTATAGGTAACTGATTACCTCTATAGGTATTATAATGTTTAACATTGTAATAATTTTCTGGAAATAAATAAAGAAAAAAAAAATTGATTATTTTTTGTCACAGAACGAGTCACAGACGTTTCTAACTCGCAACAATTGACAAGCTCTCCGCCATCAACAAGCTCTCAGCCATCAACAAGTTCTAGGACACCGTTACTACAGGTGCAGCCAGTAGGTAGTCCTAGAACTCCTGTGCAAATGATTCAGGAAAACATGAGTAAGTTTTTTAAGCCAGTTTTTAAGTAGAATTTCCTTTATTTTAATATATTTCAGATAAAACATCGAAAGGTTGCTGCTGTAACCCGAAGCTTTTGTACAACATACAATCTCTATTATTAGAAATAAATGCTAAAGTTGGAAAATGTAATTGTCATATTTTCAAGGAAGAAGTTAACAATAACATTTTGGCAGAATCACAACAAGATTTCCCCATTTCTTCCAGAGAAAATTTCAAGGAATTTGAAAAATTCCTATCGATCGTTTCTAATTATACAGCCTTGGTAAATATGTTCTCATTCCACAATTACTTCCTAAGCATGCATAAGTATCTTTCGTTTTCATTTTCCAATTTCAGGTTCAGTTATTCTCCAAACTTGGGGGCATCAATATATATGAGTTTATAAAACGATGCATTGCACCCATAATAAAGGACACATTAGCAGAAGAGTTTTCCTTTTTGGGTAAAAAAGGAAAAAATACATTTGGCACCACATTTTTGGCTAAAGCAGTAATTGGTAAATATTATTAAAATAAACATACCTACATATTTAAATGCCTTTTGATATTTTAAATCATTCCAGAAACTAGGTTTCTTTTTCAGGAGCATTAGAAAAGTATACAGGGTTCCAACTATTTCATATTTCATAGGAACGGAACAGTATTGCTATCTTGGGAACGGTTAAAGTTACGAGAGCGTTTAAATTAGAAAAAAGTTGCTATTTTTGAATAATATTGAAAATATTTATAAACATATAGCTCATTGGAAAAAGTATTATAAGGAAAAATAAAACAAAACAAGCGTGAGTAGGTGCGAATCACCCGTCTCTCTCTAGACCCAAATATCACAGTATTTTTATAACATATTAATCACAGGTATATAGGTAAAAATTCAAAATATCACAGGGCTTAAGTTTGGTATACAATAGAGAGTAGAAAGGGCTAAAATGGGTAAAATGTAAAATCACAATAAAATAAACAGATAAAAAGAAATATAAAAAGAATACAATAAAATAAACAGGTATAAAAAAAAAGGGTAAATAAAATCAGCAAACACACAAAATATCACGCAGTTAAATAAGACATAGAATCACAGCTCGACTAATTGGTATTAGCGTGTGCCAGTAACGTGCTCCACATAGATGTCCCTAGACCACCTGATGACATCACTGCACATTAGCTTACGCATAAGTTTGGCGTAACGCTGAGAAACATTGCACTGACGCAGGACGGCCTCATTGTCCTGGTCCCAGGATCCAAGGGCACCCACAATAAAAGCATCCAGAGTCACGGTTTTGCCCTGCGCCTCCAGCTCCGCAACCAGTGGCAGGTATTTTTCTCGTTTTGTTTGCCTGGCTCTTTGCAGAGACTCGACGCCATTTTCGAATGGTATTGTGACGTCGATGATGGTTACTTGGTTGTCTTTAGTCACCACAATGTCAGGCCTGACGTTGGTGGTTGTATTTGGGACGGTTCGGTTTACCATTACCTGTCCCAACCTCTCCGGGAGCGCCTTCACCAGTCTGTCCTGAACCGCGTTGTGTCGATGCTGCCAGGCAGCCGAATGGACCCTGCAATGGTTTATAACATGAGGCAGAGTCTCATCCTGACCGCCGCATCGTCTGCAGCGCTTGTCTCGATTGCTCCACCTCTGAGTTGCATTGAGGGGGACGCAGTCCAGTCTGGCTCTATGGATGAAGCGCCAGTCGCAAAACCGGGTAGCGAAGCCGTCTCTGACAAAGTGGTTGCTTGCTGCACTGGTAGAGCTGACCCTAAAAACCGCTGAGGCAGGTTCATCCACTTCTTGCAGCTACGCTTGATGAGCTGGTCCAGTGGTTTGACGGCGTTCTTCTGGACGTGCGCACCTCTCATAATAAAGCTGAGTTGCGGCATTATGAATGTGTTCAAGGCGTCGATCTTCTGCCAGGGTGCAAGAAGTGAGGAATCGACTTGCTCCGTCTGGACAACCATGCGGGCCACTGTATCTTCAGGGTTTTGGGCTATGTGGTAGCCGGTCGGAATCCCCAGGTGCTGGTAGGCTTGGCCTTCTTCCAGGATCGGAATCTGTCCCCCCTGCACATGGAAGCCGGTGTTGAGGCACTGGTGTCTTTGCCTGCAGTCTAAGTGTAGTGATGCGCACTTGGCAGGCTTGAATGTTAGGCCACATCTACTTGCGACCGTCGCCACCGTGTCGAGAAGCGTCTGGAGGTCTTCCAGGCTACTATCCATAACTACCAGGTCGTCAGCAAAAGCCAGCAAAGGGAGTCGGCCGTCAGCAACCATGCAGCCAAGCCCAGTCTCATTGGCCGCTCTGATAATGGGCTCCAGAGCCAAGTTGAAGATTATTGGGCTCAAGGGACAGCCCTGGCGGACTCCAGCATGAATTGGGAAGCTGTCCGTCTCGCCGGTCGAAACTCTGACTGTTGCAGTGCCGTCTGTGTAGATGTCCCTGCAGATGTCCACAAAAGATTGATCGACGCCGAAACTGGCAAGTACGTCGAACATGTGTTGGTGTGGGACAGAGCCAAAAGCGTTGGCCAGGTCCAGCCACGCGACAGCGCAGGATCTGCGTCCCCTTCGCGTTTCATCCAGAATACTCTGGAGTACAAAATTATGTTCTAGGCAGCCCTCGAATTGTCCAAAGCCTTTTTGGGCCGGAGACACCAAGCCGTGTTGCCTACACCACGCTGACAGCCTGTGCGCCAGACAGGATGTGAAGAGTTTGTATATGCAGCCGCACAGGGAAATAGGCCGCCAGTTGCCAGGATCATTGCGGTCGCCCTTTTTGTGAATAAGGATCACCACGGCACTCTTCCAGTCCGCTGGCACTCTTCTGAACTCGAGGACTCGGTTGAAGAGTGACGTCATGGCCAGGCATCCCGGGTCTAGCTTTTTCAATTGATGGTAGCGGATGCCATCGTTGCCTGGGGCTGTGTTTGACGTGCGGTTCAGGCGCTCCACCAAGTGTTGTGGCTCGAAAGGCAGCGTAAGTGTGTGGCCATTGGGACCAACTGGCAGTTGCACTGCATGATGTGGACCGTCGAGGGGTTTCAGGCTGTGGGTTTCGGTGAAGTAGTTCACCAGCCTGTCATTCTCTATGGTGCAGTGCTCGTTGTTGTCTCCCGTTGTGGTTTTACGGAATGCCTTGGCTTTGCTTCTCCTGTAGAGCTTTTGGATTTCGGCGGCTTCTGCAGGATTGTACCGATTCGGGACTTGTTGTGGAGGGGGCGGCGGTCTTGGGCGGTTAGGTGGCCTGTTTGCATGGGGTCGGGGTTTCTGGGGCCTTGCAGCCGGCGCAGTTTTCTCCCTCATGTCGGCGACGATCCTGGAATACGCCGCCTCCAAGTCCTCAAAGTCGCGGACCGCAGCCAGCCATTGGAGCCACCGGATCTGATCGGCATTCGGGACTCTCTGTCGTTGTGGTTGTGGTCGAGCGTTGGGGTGCAATGGCGGGTTCTGAGGCTGGGCGGGCGGTTCTTGTCGCCAGGGGGGTGGCGGAGGCTCAGCCGGCGGCGCCTGGACGAGTTCTACTCGTTGGAGTGGGTTGGCTCTGCGTTGAGGCGTGTCGGCGAGAGGCTGGGGTTCGACAAGCTGTACTGGGTGTGCGGCAGGCTGTACTAGGAGTACGGTAGGCTGTACCGGGTTTGCGACGGGCTGCACTGGCTGCACTGGGTGCGGAGCGGGTTGAACTCGGTATGGGGCAAGCTGTTCTGGGTGTTCGGAAGGCTGCACTGGATGTACAACAGGCTGCGCTAGCTGTTCGGCAGGCTGTGCTGGCTGCACTGGGTTTGTAGCAGGTTGCACTGGGTGTGTGACAGGTTGAACTGGGCTTGCGGCAGGCTGTTCTGGGTGTTCGGCAGGCTGGACTGGGTGCGCAGCGGGTTGAACTTGGCGCGGAGCAGGCTGCTCTGGGTGTTCGGGGGTTTTTGAATAATATTGAAAATAGATTGAGACGTTTATTAAAATTCAATTTTAAAAATTTACAAAATACAATGTGTTTTAAATCTAAAATTTATACTAGCTCTAGGGATCTAAGAAGCCAGTTCAACCTTTTAGGCAGATTTCAACATTTATAAACATATAGCTCATTGGAAAAGGTATTATAGGGAAAAATAAAACAAAACAAGCGTGAGTAGGTGCGAATCACCCGTCTCTCTCTAGACCCAAATATCACAGTATTTTTATAACATATTAATCACAGGTATGGAGGTAAAAATTCAAAATATCACAGGGCTTAAGTTTGGTATACAATAGAGAGTAAAAAGGGCTAAAATGGGTAAAATGTAAAATCACAATAAAATAAACAGATTAAAAGAAATATAGAAAGAATACAATAAAATAAACAGATATAAAAAAAAGGGTAAATAAAATCAACAAATACACAAAATATCACGCAGTTAAATAAGACATAGAATCACAGCTCGACTAATTGGTATTGGCGTGTGCCAGTAATATGCTCCACATAGATGTCCCTAGACCACCTGATGACATCACTGCACATTAGCTTACGCATAAGTTTGGCGTAACGCTGAGAAACATTGCACTGACGCAGGACGGCCTCATTGTCCTGGTCCCAGGATCCAAGGGCACCCACAATAAAAGCATCCAGAGTGACGGTTTTGCCCTGCGCCTCCAGCTCCGCAACCAGTGGCAGATATTTTTCTCGTTTTGTTTGCCTGGCTCTTTGCAGAGACTCGACGCCATTTTCGAATGGTATTGTGACGTCGATGATGGTGACTTGGTTGTCTTTAGTCACTACAATGTCAGGCCTGACGTTGGTAATTGTATTTGGTACGGTTCGGTTTACCATTACCTGTCCCAACCTCTCCGGAAGCGCCTTCACCAGTCTGTCCTGAATCGCGTTGTGTCGATGCTGCCAGGCAGCCGAGTGGACCCTGCAATGGTTTAGAACATGAGGCAGAGTCTCATCCTGGCCGCCGCATCGTCTGCAGCGCTTGTCTCGATTGCCCCACCTCTGAGTTGCGTTGAGGGGGACGCAGTCCAGTCTGGCTCTATGGATGAAGCGCCAGTCGCAAAACCGGGTTGCGAAGCCGTCTCTGACAAAGTGGTTGCTGGCTGCGCTGGTAGAGCTGACCCTAAAAACCTTGCCCTGGTCCGGTTTTCTAGACAGTTTGGCGCTGTACATGGCCCGGATGGCATTTTTCACGGCTCCCTCTAGTTTGGAGCGTGTCGCCGGCGTGATCGTTTGAAGCTGACGGGCCGTTCCGAACCTGATGCATAGAGCCTCTTCTTCCGCCGTCCAATGAACAGTGATCAGCCGGTTATTGAGGCGTCTGGTGGAGTTACGAGCTCGGGACCACAGTGTAGCGATGTCGCCTCCGTCTCTTCCAAACTCTGCCGTCAAGTCCCCAGACAGGTAGCGAGCGAGGTCGGCTTGCGTCGGTGGGCGGCCAATTCTTCGTCGAACCACTTCGTTGAGCTGAGAGTGGGCGATGCGACTAGTCAGCATTTCAGGGCACGTCAGCATACGATAGGCCTGGACGACGGTTGCAACCTCTGTCAGGTCCGCGAGCGGCAGGATGCCGGTGCCACCATTCTTTCCAGACACGAAGAGAAGCTCAGGACTAGCGCGCTGAGGCAGGTTCATCCACTTCTTGCAGCTACGCTTGATGAGCTGGTCTAGTGGTTTGACAGCGTTTTTCTGGACGTGCGCACCCCTCATGATGAAACTGAGTTGCGGCATTATGAAGGTGTTTATGGCGTCGATCTTCTGCCAGGGTGCAAGAAGTGAGGAGTCGACCTGTTCCGTCTGGGCAGCCATGCGGGCCACTGTGTCTTCGGGATTTTGAGCTACGTGGTAGCCGGTCGGGATCCCCAGGTGTTGGTAGGCTTGGCCCTCCTCTAGAATCGGGATCCGGCCTCCCTGCACACGGAAACCGGTGTTGAGGCACTGGTGTCTTTGCCTGCAGTCTAAGTGTAGTGATGCGCACTTAGCAGGCTTGAATGTAAGGCCACATCTGCTTGCGACCGTCGCCACCGTGTCGAGGAGCGTCTGGAGGTCTTCCGGGCTACTATCCATAACTACCAGGTCGTCAGCAAAAGCCAGCAAAGGGAGTCGGCCGTCAGCAACCATGCAACCAAGCCCAGTCTCCTTGGCCGCTCTGATAATGGGCTCCAGAGCCAGGTTGAAGATTATTGGGCTCAAGGGACAGCCCTGGCGGACTCCAGCATGGATTGGGAAGCTGTCCGTCTCGCCGGTCGAAACTCTGACTGTTGCAGTGCCGTCTGTGTAGATGTCCCTGCAGATGTCCACAAAGGATTGATCGACGCCGAAACTGGCAAGTACGTCGAACATGTGTTGGTGTGGGACAGAGCCAAAAGCGTTGGCCAGGTCCAGCCACGCGACAGCGTAGGATCCGCGTCCCCTTCGCGTTTCATCCAGAATACTTTGGAGTACAAAATTGTGTTCTAGACAGCCTTCGAATTGTCCAAAGCCTTTTTGGGCCGGCGACACCAAGCCGTGTTGCCTA